AGCGGTCGAGGCTGGCGATACGTCACGCCGCTCGACGCTGGGCAAGCGTTCGCGACTGTCGGACTCGGACAACTCGGATGCGGACAGCGACGACGACTCTGCCACTGCTCGTGTGCGCCGGCCACACGCCGTCCCCGGCCTGGACGCCGACCTCTCTGACGACGAAGCACTCGCCTCGCCGCAGCCCGAATCGGCGACTTTGGCGTGGCAAGACAAGCTCGCGGCCAAGGCGGCTGTGCCGGCGTCGAAGCGCACCGCCGAGCTGGCGACCGCGTTTGCACCGGACGAGCTCGCGCAGATGGCAGCGCCCACGGGAGCGGCGCGGCGCAAGATGAAGAAGCTCAAGAAGCGCGCCGAGCGTGCGGGAGCGGGACTGGTGAGCCAGCTGCAGGGCCAGATGCTCGACGACGCAGCGCAGCGCGGAGCCGAGGAGCAGGGCGCACGCGTGGGCAACGGCATGTTTGGCAGTGCCGCGCTGGATACGCTGCAGCGCAGGGCCGAGCCGGTGCGAAGGGGCAAGACGGGAAGCATGTTTGATGTGCTCTGCCAGCAGATGGAGGACGAAGCGTCGGATGGTGAGGCGGCGGCACAGACTCGAGACTATGAAGAGGAGCTCTAGCCGCAGCACAATGCAATTCTGTCCCTCTGCTCGCTTGATAGCGTTGGTTGCGAGGTTGGGAGGCCGAGGGAGGCGGAGGGAGACGGAGTGAGAGCGAGTGAGGAGGAGTGGAGGTGGGAGGATGAAGGCGAAAGATGAGCCGAAATGAGCCGAATTAACTTTTTTTGCGTGTTTCTTCTGTTCCACCAACACCATCACCCTCTCACACACACTTGGAGCATCGATGCTGGCGCGGGTCGTACGGCGGACTCTCGCGTCCCGACGAGGGTTGCGGGGGTACAGCACTGTCACGGGGGATGTTGTTGGCGAGCTGGAGACACGCGGGCTAGTGCACACGCTCACATCGCGCGCGTTGCGCACGCACCTCTCGTCACCCCGAACCGTCTACTCTGGCGTCGACCCCTCGGCACGCTCGCTGCACGTCGGCAACCTGCTGCCGCTTCTGGCGCTGGCGCATTTCGCGCGCTACGGTCACCGTCCCATCGTGCTCGTCGGTGGTGCGACGGGCAGTATCGGTGATCCCTCGGGCCGATCGAGCGAGCGAAACGCACTCGATCCCCACACACTCAGCGCCAACGTCGCCGCGATCCAAACGCAACTCAAGACGTTCTTTGCCAATGTCGCCCAGCTGTCCGGCAAGGAGGTGGGGGTGCGGATGCTGAACAACTACACGTGGATGAGTGGCGTATCGATGCTCGACTTTCTCGGCGAGGTGGGACGGCATGCACGGTTGACGCAGATGCTGGCGAGGGAGAGTGTGGCGTCGAGGATGGAGGGGGAGGGCATGAGTTATACCGAGTTTAGCTATCAGCTGCTTCAGGCGTACGACTTTGCGCATCTTCACCGCACATCGGGCTGCACGGTGCAATTGGGTGGATCGGATCAGTTGGGCAACATCAGTGCGGGCATCGACCTGATTCGACGCAGAATGGGCGCCAAGGCGATGCGAGATGAACCGGCCTACGGCCTGACCTTGCCGCTGCTGACCACGGCGAGCGGGGAGAAGTTCGGCAAGAGTGCGGGCAATGCGGTCTGGCTGGATGCGGAGCTAACGAGCCATCTGGACTTCTTCCAGTTCTTCCTCCGAACGCCGGATGCCGATGTACCGCGCTACCTCAACGCGCTCACGCTATTGTCGTCGGAAGAGATAGCGGCGGTGTTGGACGAGCATGATGCAGATAGGAGCAAGAGGACCGCACAGAGGGTGTTGGCCGACCATATGACGCGGCTCATTCGCGGAGCGCAGGCGGCAAAAACGGCAGAGACACTCACAGCCATCCTGGCTGCCACACCGGACGACGTGCCGCAGCTGCTCAGCCAGCTGGATCTGCACAGCGCAGCCAGCATGGTGGTCAGGCTCCACCACGCACAGCCATTGGAACTCACAAGGATAGCCGCCCAGACGGGCCTGGTCAAGAGCAGGGCAGAGGCAAAGAGGCTGCTCAACGCACGCGGCCTCTATGTCAACAATGCGCCCGCGGGCGAGGGGTGGCAAGAGCGAATGGTGCCCATGCCGCATGGGGGCAAGGCAGCCGTGATCAGGGCGGGCAAATCCGCCCTACGCATCGTGTACATCGCATAGCAATACAATGTAGAATTACTCGGACATGTCTACATCGCTGTGCTCCCCCAACTCGAGGTCGAGGTGGATTTGATCCTCAAAGGCTGCATCTTGGCGCTCGTCGTCGTCTTGGGGGCCCAGGAGCGAGTCCATGGCGGTGATGGAATACTCGAGCATGGCCGCCTCGATGCGCGTCCGATCGGCGCGCTGAAAGTGTCGCTCCGAATACGCGGACAGCGCATCGACCAGGGCAGCCAGATCGAGAGTGAGCTGTTTGTTCTTGCGGCGCTCCTGGGCCTTGTCTTTGTCGGTGCGAGGTTTGGCGATGCCGAGCTCTTCGTCTTCGGCCCTCTGCGCAAACGCCGCGCGCTGCGTCTTGGCCTGCTTGTCGAAGAGCGCGAGCAGGGATGCAGCCGAGTGTGTTGAGAGGATGGCGTGCAGCAGGGTCTGGGCGATGGGCGATGTGCGTGTGGACGTGTTCCAGTCACGCACGTAGTTGAGCAGCTGGATCAGCTGCGACCCCGACAGCGAGGCCAACACTGCATCGACACTAGCCAGGCCCGTGATGGACCCAGCATCTCCACCGCTACTACCGCCGAGGGCATCCTCGATCAAACCGCCGGTGGTGTCGGGTCGAGAATTGGCGACCAGGGTAAAGAGGTTGAGCAGTCGACGGGGTTGGTCCATCTGCAGGGCGAGTCGGATGGCGTTGCGCCAGTCGCGCGTCGTGAGCAGATTGGCAAACTGCTGCTCCATCCTCACCTCGTCCTGCTTTTGCTCGCGCTCGACCTCGAGGCGCTGCTGCGTATTGTCCTCCCACACGTGCATCGTGCCGTCGGCGGCGGCGCTGACGAACCAGCCCTCGTCGCGCGCGGTGGCAAAGGACCAGATCTTGTCATCGTGCGCATCGAGCGTCAGCGCGCATTCTTCGTCCTTGACATTCCACACCTTGACCAAGCCATCGCCGGCGCACGACAGCAGCTGCATCCCCGCAGCCACAAAGCCGAGCTTGAGCACCGAATTCGTGTGCCCCTCGAACACCTTGACGCTCGCAAAGGTGCTCAGCGACCACAGACGGATCGTCTTGTCCCCCGACGCCGTGGCGAGCGCAAGGTCAACGGGGGAGAAGCGACATGCCCACACCCCGCGCTTGTGGCCCTTGAGCACAGCAAGAGGTGCAACGCGCGCCGAGGAGCCCGAGGCGGAAGAGGAGAAGGAGAGAGAAAAGAGCTTGGCGGTGCGGTCCTGCGAGCCCGTGGCGATCATGGCGTTGTTCGGCGAGACATCGACGGTGTTGATGTCCTTGTCGTGCACGCGCTGCGTCAGGAGCGACTTGAGCGACAGCGGTGCCGAGATGGGTGCGCTGGATTCGAGCAGGGCGGTGAGCGGGGAGAGGTCCCACAGCTTGATGGTGCGGTCTTGCGAGGCGGTTACGATGAACGGCGCATACGGCGCACCGGGCTTGGCGGCGCGGCGGGCGAATGCGATCGCGCCGACCGACTCGGCGTGCCCCTCGCACACGGCCACGCAGACCCACTCCCCCTCGCCCTCGCCATCGTCCGTTGCGGCTGCAGTGGGGGGACGGCGAATGCGCTTGCCCGTATCGCCATCCGCATCTGCATTGTCGGAGGGGGAGAGGCGAGTGGTGGGGACCCAGGCCCAGATGCGGGCTGTGCGGTCCTTGGCGCCCGAGGCGAGCAGCCGCATGTCGGACGACCTGTCGACGCACAGCACAATGTCCGTATGCCCCGCAAGCAGCTCGGCGCTCGTCTCGTCGCTGCCCAGCTCGTAGACGCGCAGCGCGCGGCTGTTGGTCGCGACGGCCAGATGCGTCTCCACCGCACCGTGCGAGGCAAGCAGCGCGAGATCGACGATCTCATCGTTGAAGCCGATAAGCTGACGCACCTTGTTGAGCGGCTGCGTCGCGCTTGCGGAGCGCACGACAATGTTCTGGTCCGCATGCACCGACACCAGCCACGCCTCGCCCTGCGCGGGTGATACGAGGTGCACGGCTGTAATGGCGCGTGTCTCCTCGGCGTCGCTCTGCGGGGCAGCGAGTCGCTCGTTGAACGAGCGCGGCTCGCGCGCGATGATGGCCGAGGTGGATACGTCCCATAGTCGGAGCTGGCCGTCACTACCGCCTGTCCAAAAGGTGGTGGGGTGGGGCAGGAAGCCGACGGACTCGATGCCTTCGTTGGCCGAGAGCGTTTCGGCCTGCTTCCACGCTGCGGCGGAGGGAGCGTTGGAGGGCAGACGCCATACGACGAGCGTGCGGTCGCGCGAACCGGTGACGACCACATCGCCACGCTCAGCAACGGCGATGCCTCGCACCACCGAGTCGTGCCCCGCCAGCGTGGCGACGGGCTTGTGCAGTTCGGCCTGGTTGTTGAGGTCCCAGACGCGCACCTTGCCATCCACGGATCCCGTCAGCAGATGCATGACGCGCTGCGGCTTCTTTCCCTTCTTGGCGCTCTTTGGTGCTGCTTCGGCAGGCGGCATATTAAATGCCAGCGCAGACACCACACCGGCATGCCCCTTGAACGCATGCGTGCAGAAGCCGCCTGCGATGTCCCACACCTTGGCCACACCGTCCGAGCCGCCCGTGGCGAGCAGCGTGCTTGTGGGATCGACGCCCATGAGGTTGACCTGGCTCGCGTGGGCCTTTGGAATCGTGCGTACGAGTGTGCACTCCGGAAGGCTGAAGATGCGCAGAGAGAGGGAGCGCGAGGTGACGACCAAATGCGCGCCATCGGGGCTGACTGCGAGTGCGGTGATTTCCTCCGTGTCGCCGTCGATGCGCTGCACGATGTTGCCCGTGGCGACGTGGACGACGGAGACGTCTTCGTTGAGCGCCGCAAAGAGCAGCGTGCCATCGGGCGAGAGTGCGGTGGCGCCGCCAGTGTAGAACGGCTCGAAGGCACGGCGCTTTTCGAACGACGTCTTGAGGCGGCTGGACGGTGTCCTGGTGGACGAGGTGGATGAGGTGGAGGCCTGCTGCTGCTGCTGGGCAGCGAGGAGTTGTGCCACCTGGTCGGGCGTGAGCACCTGTGCGTCGGCCATGTCGAGAGTGTGTGGTGGTCGTGAGAGGAAGAGGAGTGCAAAGGAAGGACAAACCGCCAACCGTTTCTTCCCAAAAAGCCGCCAATTTCTGCCTTTTTTTTTGGTTTTTTGCCGGCATTTTCAGTGTTGCTCCGACTTCCGAACATTTGGTGGAGAAAGAAAAGTGGAGCAGCAGTCGGCCGAGAGAGGGGTGAATTCTCAGTCACGCGACTTGTCCACGATAACCGGCCTTCTCGGCACCCCAATCCGGCTTGTCCTCCCTCCACCATCTCCTTTCCTTGAGGCAAAGCAGTGGGGCGACATCATGCAGCGCACACTCGCAGCACGGCTGCTGCTACTCACCGCATCCCTCATCTCCACCGCCACCGCCGTCCAGCAGCCCTTCGACGCTACACCGCGCATCACCTTTACCTCGGCCGCCGAGTCGCATGGCGTCGCCGACTTTACCGGTCAGCAGGTGGTGCGCTTCACCACCGCCTCGCATGCACAACACCAGGCGCTGCTCCAACACGCACATGTGCTCGGCCTCGACGTGTGGGCTGCGCATCGTGGCAGCGCTTGCTCGACGTCGCCAGATGCGCACGTGTATGGATGTGTCGATGTGCGTCTGGCGAGCGAGGACGGCGCGGAGCGAGATTGGATGGCGCAGCTCATGCAGCCGTTCCCGCAGCACAAGAGACCACATGCACAGACGATGATCGAGGATGTACAGCAGCTTGTGGCGGCGCAGCGCAGCGCGGTGGACGAGGAGGAGGAGGAGGAGGTAGAGGCGATGCGCGAGGACAAGTGGCATCGCGACTATCACACCTTTGACGAGATCACCGCGTATATGCGCATGCTCGAGCACAGCTATCCCACGCATGCACAGCTCGTACAGCTGGGAACAACGCATGAGGGCAGACCCATCCTCGGGCTCAAGATCTCCGACGACCTCCCCGTGCCCACTCCCGACCCCCAGCCGGAGCCGCAACCGGATCCGCCTGCCAATACCACGGCATCTGCGCGCGGAAAGCTGGGTATCGTGGTAACGGGCGGCCAGCACGCCCGCGAGTGGGTCTCGACCTCGAGCGCGCTCTACTTTGCGTCGGATCTGCTGGCTGCGGCGCTGGGCGTACCGTCCAACTCTTCTTCGCCTGTAGAGGCGGCGCGTCGGGGCAAGAAGCGCGCGCGCAAGGTGTGGAGCAAGAAGCAGGCGCGCCTCATGCTATCCTCGTTCAGCATCACGGTGGTGCCCGTGTCGAACCCGGACGGCTATGTGTACTCGTGGGACAAGAACCGGATGTGGCGCAAGAACCGGCAGCCGAACCACTTCCCCTCGGGCCTCTTCTGCAAAGGTGTCGACGTCAACCGCAACTACGACTACGGCTTCGCCTCCTCCTCCAACGCCTGCTCCGAGATGTATTCGGGTAGTGCGCCGTTTACGTCGGCCGAGGCACGGGCGATTGCGACGTACGTCGAGGATGCGCGCAATGGTGTGGTGGGCTTTTTCGATCTGCACAGCTACGGGCAGCTGATGATGTATCCTTTCAGCAGCGATTGTGCGCTGCAGCCGGCGGACGAGGAGGACCTGCTCGAGGCGAGTCTGGGCGCGATCAAGGCAGTCAAGGCGGTGGATGGCAAGGCGTTTACCGCCGGAAAGATCTGTGAGGTCTATGCGGTCGCCGGCGGAAATGCGGTCGATTGGGCCTACGCTGCATCCAAGGACACACAGGGCCAACAGAAGGCAAAAGTAAAGTGGTCCTTCAGCATCGAGCTTAGAGATGGCGGAACCTATGGGTTTTTGCTGCCAAAGAAGCAGATTGTCCCGGCGGCAAAGGAGGCTAGCGCCGCCCTGGCATACATCCTCAGCTTCATCCAGAAAAAGTCGTTCTAGATTCTTCGGCCTTCAAAACTGTATTCTTATTCCCACACGAGCAATTCCATCCTCACATACACAGACACACAAAACGGCTTCCGGGCAAACGGTCGAGGAACAAGGCGACTTGATTGTATTGCTCTCGCAAGCGCAGGTGGCAACGTTCTAGGCCTCCACGTTGAAGAACGCAAACGAGGGCTGACCAGGCTCGGCCGCCTCGAGCACCTTGTCGTCAACATCGACGTCCTTGTAGCTGTCTTTGTCTTCGATCTGGTAGATGTGGATCTGGCTAAAGTGCATGCTCTTCTTAAAGTAGCCGGCGGCGGCGCGCAGCGTGGCGATCTCGTCGAAGGGCAGCAGCCTGTTGAATGCCGTCTGGGCGCCAAAGTCGGCGATGCGCTTCTTGAAGGTGACGATAAAGTTCATCACCTTCTTGTCCTTGAGCATGCCGTCCTTGGCGAGCTGTTCGCGGATCGCCTTGTCATCAAACGCGCCCGTGTCGGGGCTGTAGTGCGCCTGGACCAGAGACACGCACTTGTCCTGCCAGGCGGGGAAGTTCTTGGCGACAAACATGCGGCACTCCTTGGGCGCGCGGTCGTTGTACTTGACCGGCGCCGCGTTCTTGCCCTTGGCCTTCTTGGTCAGCAGGATCTCGGCATCGCGCACCGTCTTGACCGTCCCGGACACGTACGCGAGCGCCTCGGCGATCGAGTGATCCACGGGCCCAGCTGCAGGCCAGCGCGCCGTCTGCACCGAGCTGCTCTCGCCCAGCAGCTTGCTCCACACGTGCTCGGCAAAGTGCGGCGCAATGGGCGTGATGAGCAGCGCCTGGGTGCGGATCCAGCGCAGCACGAGATCCACGTGCATCCCCACATCCGCCGTCGCCTCGCGGTACAGATCGCGCGCCGTCTGCAGCTCGTAGAAGCCGTACTTGGTGGCGTCCTTGTAGAGCGCCTTCTCGTACGCCTCGTTGGTGAGCTGCACCAGCTGGTTCATCTGGTTCTCGAACGAGCGGTCCCAGAACGTATCCTTGGCACCCGATCGCAGCTTGCTCTTGTTCTGCACCACTTCGGTGCACCACTCGATGAGCGTGTGCAGACGCAGGATGTTGGCGTTGGCCGTCTTCTCCTCAAAGTTGGCATCCTCGATGCCATCGCCTGCGTCGGCGAGCGACAGTCGCGTGGCGTCCGCACCAAACTTCTCGACCGACTGGCGCAGGCTGAGCGAGTTGCCCGTCGACTTGGACATCTTCTTGCCGTTGAGCATGAGGTGGCCGTTGGCACGCACCGCGCGCGGCCAGTGGTGCTCGGGGAAGAGCGCAGAGTGCACGTACACGCAGAAGGTCAGGTGGTTCGGGATGAGGTCCTTGCCCGACGAGCGCAGGTCCATGGGGTAGAAGTAGCGGAACTCGCGACGAAGCACCTCGGCCTTGGCCTTGGGCACGCTCGAGTCGGCAGGGAACGCAGCATCGCCCAGGATGTAGTCCCACACCTCGTCCGTCAGCTCTTCGGCCTTGATGCCGATGGGGCCCACCTGGCTGCCGTCCGCAACGCCGCCCTGGAGGTGGTGTGCAATGGTGTAGTACGACATGTAGATCGTCGAGTCGCTCAGCGACTCCACCAGGTACTGCGGGTCCCACGGCAGCTTGGAGCCCAGACCGTACGAGCGCGCACACGCCCACTGCTTGAGCCAGTCGATGGTGCCCTCGAAGGCGTTGCGCACCTCGGAGCCGTAGGTGTTCATCTGCGCAATCAGCTTGCTCGCCTGCGCCTTCCACGACTCCTCGCCGTAGTCCATGTACCACTGGTCGCACAGCGCCACGACGCACTCGTCCGCACTGCGGCTGATGATCTTGCCCTCGGGCTCGGCATAGGCAAACGCCAGATTTGCGCGGATCATCTCGTCGCGCACCTTGGTCTTGGCCTCCTGCACCGCCTCGCCCTTGTACGAGCCGACGAGCATGGTGCCGTTGTAGAAGCCCTCCTTGTACGCCAGCTCCTTGGCCTCGGCCAGCTGGTTCTTGTCCTTGGCACTCTGGATCTTGAGCTGCTTGACCAGCGTCTCGGCGGTCATGTCGCCGTACGCCGGCGTGCGGATCACGGGGATCGGCTCAAACGCAGCCCACTGCGGGTCAATCTTGTAGTACTCGGCCTTCTTGCGCAGGTCCATGAGCGTGGCGTAGTCGTCGGGCGAGTCCGAGGGCACCGAGGTGACGACGCCCGTACCTTTGGTGGCGAGCACCGTCTCCATGGGCAGCACGTACACCTCCGGGTACAGGCCAAAGGGCGCCTTGATCTTGGTGCCCAGCAGCTGCGAGCCCTTGATCGAGGCGAGCTGCTTGACCTCGCCGCGCTCCTTGGTGATGCCCTGGAAGGCCATGTTGCGTGCGGCGCGCTCGGTGCAGATGAAGACGTCCGAGTCGTTGATCTGGAAGGCGCCGTAGTCGATGGTGGGTCCGACGTAGCAGTTGGTCTGACCGTACATCGTCTCGGGACGCAGCGTGGCGGCGACGAAGAAGACGTTCTTGCCCTGCAGCTTGGCGTCGAGCTCGGGAGCGGCGAGCGCGCCCCACTGGACAAGCTCCATCTTGAGGCCGGTGTACTCCTGCGGGCCGAGGCCCTCGCCGTCGGAGCGGTCGTGGTCCATGCAGGGCTGACCGTCCTTGGGCGAGTAGATGGTGTAGCGCTCGCCGAACTTGATCTTGTTCATGGCGTGCAGCTTGTTCATCTGCCAGCGCACAAACGAGTCGTAGTACGGGTTGACGTCGGTGGTGATGAAGGCGCGGCGCCAGTCGATGCGCGACCCAAACGCGGTGCAGTCGGCCTTGGCGATGGGCGGGAAGTAGCTCAGCCAGTAGTTGGCGTCGGCGAACTTGTGGATCTCCTCCTTGGGCACGCCCGAGTTGAGCATGATCTGGAACTGGAACTTGAGGCCGGTGTCCTTGCCTGCCAGCTTGCCCTTGGTGGCCTTGGCGACGTTGTTGGCGTTGGACTTGGTGGCGCTCGAGGTGTTTTCGACGGGCGCTGGCGGTTCTACGTCGGCATCGGCAGCAGCAGCAGCCTCGTCGGCGGGGTCCTTGTATCCGGAAAAGTCGGGGCCAAACAGCTCGATCTCGCGCACGAGCTTGTCGGCGGCGGCACGGATGGGCATGCCGGTGCAGTGGAAGGCCCAGGGGAAGAGGGCGCGCTTGCCCTGCATGCGCTCGTAGCCTGCGGCGAACTCGACCTTGGAGAGCGTAAAGGCGTGGCCGAGGTGGAGCGAGCCGTTCATGTAGGCGTAGGGGATGGTGGCAAACCACTTGGGGTACTTTGCGCGCACCTCCTCGGGCGACATGTCTACGAGGCCGGCATCCTGGGTGGGTGCGTTGACGTCAAAGACGTTCTGCTGCTTCCAGTACGCCTGCGACTCGGATTCGAGCTTTTGGAGGAAGTCGCGCTTGGCGGTGTTTTCGAGCTGGATAGGGCCGGCGTTGGCGTCCTTGGCGGCAGCAGCAGCGGCGGCGGCGTCCTTGGGCGGCATGGTGGCGACAGCTGTGTTCAGGAGTCTGGATGAGAGCAAGGAGCGAGGGGGCCCTGGACGCGGCTTCAGGGCCAGTGATCGAAAGAGGCGGAGGGGCGTCGTGGTCGTCGTCGTCGTCGCTGGTGGTGCCGCAAGCCGAACGTTGGCACAGCTGAGCCGAGTGCGAGAGTCAAGGGAGATGCGACGCGATGCGCTTTTGGATGATCGATCGGGCTGGCTGGACGAGAGCGTGATCGATAGCGTGACGATATGGTGGTGGTGGGAAGAGGGCTTGGTCACCATCGGAAGGACCGAATCAAGAGCCCTCGCAGTGTCACTTTTTGCTCGGCTTGTCGTCTGCTCCTCTGCTGCGCTGCGCTCTGCTGCGCATTTCTTTCTCTCTCTCTCTC